TGCTCCCATGCTTGTAGAGTTGTCGACGGAAGTTTAGTTACAAGTTGATGTACCATCCAATGATCGCAAGACTTCATGTCGATTTTGAGACGTTTTAATTCGTTAATGCATACGTTTGTGACATTGAGCATCCTCTTGAGATCGGCCGAATGTTCCTTAGCTAGAGAAGGCAAACCAAAAAATGTGTTCATCTGATGCATGAACTGCAAACGTGGATTGTTGTATCGTTTAACAATCAAAGACCAAGCTGTTTCGTAGTTGGTATCGGTTAAGTCCATTTGATGAATATCGCTGTCGCAACCTGTTGGCAAGGCTTGCTTAAGGAAATGGAACTTCTGAACGCCTGATAGTGCGTCATTGTCATGTATGAGTTGTGCAAATGAATCGTAAAATGCTGGCCACTCTACAAATTTGCCAGAAAAGGTGGGTACAGGCAACTTGGGCAGCTGTAAGCTAGACGAAGGCGATGCTTGCTTGATCGACGTTTGATTGTTAGAAAGTTCATTTGCCATTTCTACTATTGGAGGGAATGTTTGTTCATAAGCCTCCAAAATTACGCAGTATATGTTTGTATGGTACTCATCAAAGGTTTCAGCAATACGTTGCGTGAAATATTGATGATCACGTGGGCATTGGGAGATTAGGAGATCCCGATGTACTTGTTTAAACTCGGCGGCATATTCATCTAACCTTTTAAGAAAGTGTGTATAGAATGTTCTAGATTTTGACTGTGAATTTTCCCTTTTAAAGTTGTTGTATAAACAGCGTACCTGTTCACCTATATCTATTTGGATTGCGTAAGAATGATCAAAATGGCATCCAACGTTTGCCTGTTGTTGAGCCATGATTGTTAAATCGAATAAACAGAAACTATTGATCGCAACACAAGCAAGAACCAAAAACAAACACTCACCCCCTTTCCCGTATGTATGTATGTAGCCTTGTAGCGTATTGTAGCGTGTTGTTTCTTCTTGCCTTCAATTGTGCGAATCGTTGAGATGTATGTGTGTGACGCCGATGTTTCGTTTGTGTGTCGTCGCTGACGCGCTGTCGCTGTCCAGCCAAATTCGTGTGTATGTTCGGCGTCGATGTTTCGCCGCTATTTTCGCTGCTATGAGACGCCTGTGTGTCGTCGTTGAGGCGCTGTCGCTATCTAGCCAAATTCGTGTGTCTGTTCGGCGCCGATGATTTGCCGTTACTTCTTGTTGCTATGTCTGTAGCCAAAACTCAGACGCCGGTGCTCGTATATGTGAGTAACGCAATGTTGTACCGTTACTTTCGATGTGTATGCTGAGAGTGGCGTGATCGTTGCATGTATGTATAAGTGACGCCGAAGACTGATGCGTCGTCACTTGGATGTGTACACCTTGGCAACGCCGAGAGTGGTTGGCCGTTACCCTTTCTAGAAATGTCTGTATGTAGATGTACACCACAGCAAATCAGTTCGATAGTGACTGTATTTTTGAGTGAAGTTTGCGGGTTGAGAACTTCCAAAACAAAAAAAACAAACTTAAGACTGGGGATTGCCGCACGTCCTTAAGTGTATTTATTGAGACTGGGGATTGCCGCACGCCTCCTCTATGTGTACTGTTGAGACTGGGGATTGCCGCACGCCTCCTCTATGTGTACTGTTGAGACTGGGGATTGCCGCACGCCTCCTCTATGTGTACTGTTGAGACTGGGGATTGCCGCACGTCTCCTCTATTTTGTATGTACTGTGTTGAGACTGGGGATTGCCGCACGCCTCCTAGATGTGTGTTTTCAGACTGGGGATTGCCGCACGTCTGTATGTATTCTGAGACTGGGGATTGCCGCACGCCTCCTAGATGTGTGTTTTCAGACTGGGGATTGCCGCACGTCTGTGTGTATTCTGAGACTGGGGATTGCCGCACGTCTCCTCTATTTGTGTGTTCAGACTGGGGATTGCCGCACGTCTGTATGTATTCTGAGACTGGGGATTGCCGCACGCCTCCTAGATGTGTGTTTTCAGACTGGGGATTGCCGCACGTCTGTATGTATTCTGAGACTGGGGATTGCCGCACGCCTCCTAGATGTGTGTTTTCAGACTGGGGATTGCCGCACGTCTGTGTGTATTCTGAGACTGGGGATTGCCGCACGTCTCCTCTATTTGTGTGTTCAGACTGGGGATTGCCGCACGTCTGTATGTATTCTGAGACTGGGGATTGCCGCACGTCTCCTCTATTTGTGTGTTCAGACTGGGGATTGCCGCACGTCTGTATGTATTCTGAGACTGGGGATTGCCGCACGTCTCCTCTATTTGTGTATTCAGACTGGGGATTGCCGCACGTCTGTATGTATTCTGAGACTGGGGATTGCCGCACGTCTCCTCTATTTGTGTGTTCAGACTGGGGATTGCCGCACGTCTGTATGTATTCTGAGACTGGGGATTGCCGCACGTCTCCTTTATATATGTGTTCAGACTGGGGATTGCCGCACGTCTGTATGTATTACACCAGCAAGCTTGACATTGTGAAATAACGGATCCCCTCATGGGCCACCATAAAATGTTGTGTCGCTACTCGTTTGTAACGGCAATGATGAGCATACTGACTTTAATTGCTCAGGGGTGTAACGTTATTTCTTTTATTGTAATTTCAAGCTTAACCTACAATGTAATACACCGAATTTTCTATGTCTAAAATGTTCCGGCACATATATAAAGTCTCTCTTTTCGCTTCGCTCACACACTTCTAACTCGCTATTGTTCCGCGCACACACCACACGTCCGCTCGCTTCGGCTTCTCAACTCGCTCTCGTTTTATCGAGCCAAAAAAGGAATCGACAAGGTATCTCGATTATTAGCAAGGTTGGGCACCACTCGTCGACCAGTGCTGCCAGGGCTACGATAAATGGCAGTTGCCGGTTCAAATAGATTGCAAAATCTTCCACATTTTTTCTGGGAGAATTATTTAAATTATTTTTTCAGCTCTGGAAATAAAAAAATATCTCTATGAATAAAAATTATATAAAGTCTTTACGAAGTTTTGAAAACATTGTTGTTCTTGAACACGATGGTCATTCTGATCGATTTATTGTTGATTATACCAATTTTTGATACAACAACAATCTTTAAAATTATTTTTCAACCATCAGCTATAAATTTATAAATATAGTTACAAATTTATTTTTATTTTTTGTATATATTTATATTTAATTGAAAAATATAGTTACAAATTTATTTTAGTTGATTCTTTTAGTTGATTGCTCCTTCCGATGAACATAATTAACATACAGATGAGGAATTAGTATATTCATGCTTCACAACAAATTATATTTATGATACATTGAAAAAAGTCAAATACTAACTAAAATTGGTATCATAAGTCTTAAAGAGTACAACTTATAGTAATTACTTAAGTTACAGAATGCTTAAAAAGTAGTTCATTTGAAAATGTATTACGAACTGAATAATAATGATTATGCGTTGAATTATGCCTTTCCTGTCTATTTGCCTTAGAGAGTGCGCTTGTGGTTGGCCGCAATACAATTTGTCTTTTTTAAGAAATTGCGACACACGAGTAAGTCCTTTAGAATGCCAAATTCTTAATTTATCAATCAAAATTGTATACAAACTGTATGCAATAAAAAGCCCTTTCCCTCCCAGCTGGGTGTGTGGATGTGTTTCCTTTTGTAAATCCGCCAACACTTTGCGTCGTCAACTTGCCGACATTAAGGCGCAGGAATCTTTCTTCTTTTCCTTTTTGTTGTTGTTGGTGTTGCTGGTTTTGTTTTTTATTGTTATCGTGTTATGGCGCGGAGCTGTTCTCGTTTTGCTTTTGGTTTATGTTTGAGGATCCGCATGTGGGAAAGCATGTGTCGCACATTTACAGCTGTGCCTACCCAGGAAAGTGAAGAAATTAAAGGAAGAGAGAGAGGAAGATGGAGGAAAGCCAGAATTCGTTACGCGAACAAAATGGCTGCACAACCATTTGATTTCCACTTGAAGGCCTTACACCGTTCCCTGCGCATTGTGTGGATTATTATATTCGCGTTTTTCATACGCACAGCTTTAAGCATTTTTGCATTAACGTCTTTATTCTCAAAGTCGAAATGAGCACAAACGGCATAACCACATTTCCACAAGATGTACTATATAGGTATGGATATATGGATATGTGTACATACTCGTATATGTATGTAAATATGTTGGCGACGGAAACGCTGATGTATTTTTTATGCATGTGTCTTGTGAATCTGTGGCGTTTTATTACTTTTAAATTGCGCTCGTTACATTCTTTGGAGGGCGTTTGAAGTCAACCCCTCCAGCACAGCTTGAAAATCTATTCGCAATTTGTCTTTGAAACAGAAACATAAGCACTTCCATATATTTTGAAAAAAAGATGGAAATAACAATTCAGTTCTTGCAAAACAAAAACATTCTTAGGTGTAACAAAAAACGTTTTGAATCGCATAACATTTTGTTGTTCTCTTTAATTTTAATTTGAAAATATTAAATATTATTTGAAGTATTAAAATACTACTAAAATTATATAATGATAGTAAAATTTATTTTTCATAAAATTTGGTCAATCTGTGGAGTCGTCAACGTGTAGATATCTTACAAGTAGACTTCTTACGTGTAGACATCTCATATGGAGACATCTGACTTGAAAATATTAAACACATACACATCTAATGCGAAGATGTATAAATCTAACATGCATACAATTAACGTGGAGACTTCTGACGTGGATACATCTCATATGGATACATCTGACGTGGAAATATAAAACGTAAAGACATCGAATGCGAACATGTAGAAATCTAACATGCATACACTTAACGTGGAGACTTCTGACGTGGAGACATATGACGTGTAAACACCTGACTTGTACACACTTGAAGCTTTATAAACTAAGGTCTGGCATTGGTGTCAAGAAGTGGCCTCCTTGCATCTGAGAATATTCAATTCGCAAACAATTTTATTATCCAATCGTGGAATGCTACTATGATTTGGTTTTTAATTGAAAGACGGTGTATTTATCTGTTTGCGCTTTTATTCACGTTTAAATCTCTAAACGATCAATAAATGAATATATATTGGCGCAATGAGCGATGAGAAAGTTTCCACTATTTGTTGGCAAGCACTGACCTAGAAATTCTAGGAGAGCAGGCTGTTTGGAGACAACCTCCGCGTATTCGTCGAACGAGATTTGGCCATCTTTGTCTAAATCGAATTTGAGGAAGAGGAAGTCTACCATATCCTAAAAAGCAAAAAAAGTAAAGTTAATTATTAATTTAAATATAGCTATGCAACTTACTGAACGAAGCTCATTTATTTCATCCTCATCCTGACCATCAAAAAAACGCTCCACTTTCTGGATAATAAGTTCTCGATTCAAATACCCGCTGCCACTTGCATTGTAAACCTTAAAATGCAGTTCTAATAAGCCAACGCTAAAATGATGAAAACAAATATTCAAGGCTTACTGAAAAGGCGAACTTCATGCGCACTCGGAGATCAGTGGACATGAAGATTTCCAATAAGTTCAACCAGGCTAGGGGATCAATGTATTTGGCATCGGTTGTTATGGTAAGCAAAATACGTTCAGTAATTAGACGATCATTTATATCGAATAGCACCAAAAACAGATTGTATAGTTGTTGTTTCTGCATCTTTCGAGCAAGCGGTCCGTTCGCCAAAACAAACTTGTAGTAGATGAGTAGCACGGAGGCCACTTCCATCTCCCTAAAGGTCGAGTTGGCGGAATATTGCTTGATCAAATGATGGTAGAGGGCTATGAAACGAGTGTTGGACATATTGTCCATGGAGTTGTCTAGATTATTCATGTTGTCGTGTTTATTTTATTTTTTTTTTATTTTTTTTTTTGATTAGTAAGACCAAAAAAAGCGAACGTGAAGACTGGAAAAAAATAATGTGTATTTGGTGTGGAGCGTGACAGAAAGAAACTGAATTAAAATGGAAGTCTGAAAATAGAATTGACAATATTTTCAAAGCTGGCGTTTTTCTTTTAATATACAATTCCAATGACTCCGAAATAGAGGAAAGAACATTTGCAAAAATATAAAAAAAGTTGAACAAAAAAAAAACACCGTTTTTTGTTTGTTACAAGAGTTTACTTAAGATTTTTCTAATGATAATTTTTGTATGTGGGAACCAGATTTAAATTATTAATAATTTAATCAGATCTGTATCTGCTTGTGCTGTGGAAAAAAACTCACATGGGCATCTGACAATTTAATGCTTAGAGCCATTACTCAAAAACAATTCCATTGAACTACAAAAGCACATAAACATATTTACAACTAGAAACAACCGAATAAAGATTTGTGAGCAAAGAAGAGAACCAAGATGGACTCCTTAGACAGCACCTTGGACTCGATGCAAAACAATCGTTTTGCGGCGCTCTACAACAGCATGATTCGGGAATTGACAAACACCACCCACCTCTCCCAGACGGAGGTGACCAGTTTGCTGATGGTGTACTATAAGTTCGTGATGAATAATGGCCGGGCGGCCAAAATGATGACGAAGAAACAGTTCTATCAGATCTTTTTGGTGCTCTTCAATCTGAACGATATGCGAGCTGCCGATCGAACTCTGCTACACATCACAAAGCATGTTAAATATGTCGATCCTGCGGGCTGGATTCAACTTTTTACACTTTTTACCACCGGGGATTTAACAATGCGCATGAAATTCGCATTTGCGGTAAGTCCCTGTTGGCTTTCAGCTTAAGAGTGCTCATAATATTAATGGACACCCGAAGGTTTACAATACCAAAGGTACAGGACTTATAGATCGTGAGATGATTTCTGTAGCCGTTGAGCGTTTCTTTATTGGAGAGGACGAGGACGAAGTTATGGAGTTGCGCGCTGTAAGTAATGTGGAATTTTAAAATTATAAGTTTCCTTTTAAAAACACCCTTTCTTTTGACTTTTGTCGGCAGGATATGTGCGAGCTTATTATCAAAAAATTCGATGTAGACAAGGATGGTTTCATTTCGTTTGATGACTATGTAACAGTTGTTTCACAACAACCATGTCTGCTAGAGTTTTTGGGAAGACTGTTTCCATCAGTTGATGACCAAAACGTCCTTGCACATTGTACCAATATTGATTCGCTTATAAGTTATTAAACTGATTAAAAAGAAAGATGTTTAAATATCTTAAAAACATGACATTTTATGACTTTGCCAAGAAAATAAATAAATTTTTTGAAAACTTATCGATAAACTATTTAAAATTGAAAATGTTTTTCTATTAGTTGAGATCTATTTTCGCCTAACGAATATTTTGATTAAATCTGTTAGGAATCTGCTATTTGGTATTGTTATGTTTTATAAAAAAATCAATAAAAATATGTTTGCTGCAAATGAAAACTTAAGAAATATGTCACAGATTTTTTATTTACATGTTCATCAATAAATTATGCAACAGTTGTGAGTCAGTCAACAACAAATCGTTCCAATTCTTGGCTGACGGCTTAGTCAGGGGTGCATATATATCAGGATGTGTATTGAGGACATGCATATGAAGTCAAAATTTGCATTCGAATAAACCGATTTGCATTTTGTGCCTTCTGATTTAGTTCATGCGACAGGCAGCCTCGCAGAGTTCAACGAAAGGAAAATGAAAATAAGAAACGATTTTGTTTGCTTATATTTTTGGTAATAAGATATTTTAAATACCACTTCAAAAATGCGCTGATCTTTTATTTGTTTATTTATGTACTTCAGAGACAACATTTTCAAAGGGTTTAATAGACAAATTATTTCCTAAAAATTAAAAAAAGCATTCAAATATTAGAAATTATAATTTAATAGAAAATTTAAATGTAATCATTTTGTTTTGATGGAAATGGAAAACAATTACAAACAGCTAAATATATTTTGAATAAGATTAAATGAGGATTTACTTGTATATTAAAGAATCCTAGCATTTATACACATTTGAAAGATTTAAAAAGCGGAGTTCTTTCATGGAGCTTCGAAATGGGCATGAGTTAAAAAGACGTCGTGACCACACATCAGAAGTCTGTACAACAGAAGTCTACACATCAGAAGACCACACATTAGAAGTCTACAAAAAAGAAATCATCACTTCAGAAGTCTACACATCAGAAGTCTGTAGAACAGAAGTCTACACCTCAGAAGTCTGTACAACAGAAGTCTACACATCAGTCTGTACAACAGAAGTCTACACATCAGAAGGATACACATCAGAAGGCTAAACATCAGAAGGCTACACATCAGAGGGCTACACATCAGAAGGCTACACATCAGAAGTCTACACATCAGTAGTCTACACATCAGAAGTCTACACACATCAGATGTAATTGTATGATGTTTTGAAATGCTATCATAGAATATTTTTGGACGGTGGATATTTCTCTACACCAACTCGTCAGAACTTTTATTCAACCAAATTTTGAAAGGCAGCAACACAATAAACCTAACAACAATTATTAAAGAATACTAACATAATACTCTCTTGTTTCATTCTATATATTATTATTTTTTGTGTCACAAAAAATAATGACAAATGTTTAGTTTTGGCCATGTTTCAATGATTGATGAGTGTGCGTGCGAGTCTCGTTGCCTGCATTTTAGGCTATTTACTTTTTTCTTCCTTAATTGTAATTGTCATTTTTCAGAGCGCCAAATAATAATACCCAATTTATCTTCATTTAAAGAGCAGTCACACTAATTCGACTAGTTGGGCAACCGCTTAGCTTACAGCTAGTGAGTTATTTAATTCGAATTCCACTGACCACTGACTGAACATTTTTCAAATGAATTTGCAATTTATTGAAATTCCATAGGCACACTCGGCGTATACGTGATATGCTTGCTAACTTTTAATAGGGTTAGGCAGCAGAAATCAGATTTAGCTTAAAGCAGCTTTGACATCATACATATGCAATTAAATTTGTCCAAACGCTGGTAAGGACCACCACAGGTCGCAACTACCTTTAATTATTCCATTTGTGTCCGCACAATGCACTCAACCTAATTATGCATACCACAAACGAGTACGTACATATCATACATAATAATAATACACACCCATATATATATATATATATATATATATATATATATATATATATATATATATATGATATGCATCCATTATGAGTGCGTATATCCATACAGCTGAGGGCATCGCTGGGCCGCCTGCAGGAAAAGTCGGTTAAGTAGCTCATTAACTTCCAATACACTTCGCAGGCAGGCAGGCAGTCACAAACAATTTCTCAAATGCATATTCAGCACTCGCTATTGCTAATTTTCACATTCCAAGCACCGATGCCTGAGTGTTTGTACTTGTTGAACTTATGGCTGAAACCAGGTGTGAAGCTTTACCGTTTATTCCATGTGAGCTGGATGACTAGGACGATTGAGAGCGCTAAGCCATATGTGTGAGTTAGAATCAGAGCTGTCATATTTCCAATAATACATACTTATATATATTTATATCTACGAGTATATTAAAAAGAAACTTATATACCAGCCAAGTCTTCGAGCTCATCACTTTAGGAACCTTCAAATGAGAACCTACGATTGCCAGTTTCTCTCTTCTATTGCGATCGACTTCGACTAATTATTTTGCTCTCAAGCTTCCATGCGGGACAGACGATCGAAAGATTCTGGGAGTCATTTGAATTTAGCTGAACTGAAATATTGTAAACCAACCAATCAATTGTGCACATAAAATAGAACATTTCAATTAACAGAATAAGCAAACAATAGGAATCATTAAATCGTTAACTGTGAACAAATAATCTGTACGAATCAATTTTTCTTTGCCTTTCGATCACTCTGAACGGTGACATTGTCCCCTTCGTTGATTCGGTAAAAAATCTTGGCCACATTCTATATAGGCGACTCATTCACAGATCCTGAAAAACAAGAATGGAAAGCTATACTGGCTGTTGAGGCCCAGATTCAAGCTGCTTTTTCGTAACAAGCTGCTGATCTACAAGGCGATACTAAAACCAGTCTTTTCGCATCAATAGCAAGGATCCATCTGATTGTCTTTTAAAAGTTAATAAGTTCTTAAAAAAAAATATAGTATATCGCAAAGCGTGTATGATTTTATTTAATGGAAAACATGACCTAGAACATACATTCTTTAACATCAATTTTTAGTTCCGTTTTTCTCTTTTTTATGCAACTGTAACATCTAGTATTAATTCGGTTTTATTTATTTGTTTCCCCTTAATTCATAATAAAACTTGCTCCAAGAGTGTTTTATTTTTATTTTATTCTTATATTTATAAGTTTTTAATAGGAATTATTACAAATTTATTACTTGCTTACGAACATTTTGACTCCATAGTCTACCCAGAGGCCCTTCTAATAGTGCCAAAACAAATGCGAGTTAAATTTTTTGATTCGTTTAAGAAATGAAATAACTATCCTTTTACTTCCTCGAATCTTATTTATTCCTTTAAGGCTAGGAAATACAAATGGTTCAAAAAACATATTTGCTGAAAATCTTGTTATTAAATCATTGATGAAAATTGTGAATCCGGAAACGCGGAAATAAGTATGGCTACTTATTATTTTATTTTACTTAAATGAGATAACAGCTTGTTTTCGAATTTATTTACAATATATTTAAAATATAAGAAATTTTAATTTAATGTTTTTTGAGATAATTAGTCAGTATTAGAATGCGAAGTTTGTCAAAGCATAAAACTTGCTAGTTTTATTGACAAGTTTTAAAATTAAATACTTCACTGGTTTTATTTTTGTCAGTAAAGGAAGTGAACCCATTTTAATGAGAAATAATTTGATAAACACTATACAAAGTATGAATTGATGTTGTAAATATATTAACTCAGTCAATTTATACACAAAAAGAGGGAAGGTAATTTTTAGATGTTACCATTCCCAAATAAATTTAAAAATGTTGCTTAGCGAATGATGCAATTAAATAATTGCTTTTATTTTACGCTTCCGTATGAAAGGAAGATGGTCTGAAGTTTAATTGGGAGCATTGAAAAATAGTGCTGAGCTTACCATTTTATTTTATTTTATTTTATTTTATTTTATTTTATTTTATTTTATTTTATTTTATAAAACTCCGCAACTAATAAGCAGCTACCTACATGCGAATATATACTACTATAAACTAAACGTGTGAGCAAAAATGTCAGTCATGCCAAGCAATGTAATTATATAGCTTCATTCTAGTGTTCAAAAGTACTATGAGGTGTCCAGCACTAGGGCTGTATCATGGAAAGATAATTATTAGCGCTGTAGGACACGTACGGGGCTGCGCTCTTTGCTGCGGTCACCAAAGACTCCATAACGACCGGCCCTAGGCCCCAACATTGCAGCTGCTTTTGGAGTTGGCCTCAGTGTTGTAAGCGCTACTGGGCCTGCCAAAGCACGGGGCTTATTTGTATCGACTTGGGCGTCCCCCTCACCCACAGACCTGGGGCGATGCCCAGCCAGTGGCACCATCACCAGCACCATCGGCGGCAGTGGAAAACAAGCGCAGCCTGCATATTTGTGCGCGCTGCCTGGCATCAAATTAATTATCCTTGATAATAATCATGCAATTTGTACGTGTGGCAGAGTCAGTGGGGGTGTTGTGGTTCCTGCTGTCCTTGCCGTTGTTGTTGTTGTTGTTGTTGTACTAGATGTTGGTATTTAGCAGTACTACGCTGTGGTCTTTATTGCGGCATTAGCAGTGGCGGCTACTGCATCATTATGCTCATTATAACCGTCACAGCGCCGATTTTACAGCCGGGAAGGAGTCCTGTAGCTGCCGGCACTTGCCGCACAACATACAACCACCATAGAGCCACCCACACATGCGGGCCAGGCTCATACAATACGCGTTTGATGAATTGCATTAGGACATGTGAGTAATTATAATCAATTAAGGCGACGCATGTGCCGGGCATACTAAGCTGCTCTTGGCGGCCATTCAATTTAATTCCGAGCCCCAATTTAAATGCACTTTTCAGAGTAGAACAAAAAAACCTTATAATTGTGGGAGTCGGTTTAACTTACGAGTATGTACTTATTATTTAAGGCCAGGTGTGAACAGGTGTCCACAGTTTTTGGGACAGTCCTTTGGCTTGTTTTCGTTCATAAGTTTTTTATTGCTGATGTAGGCTCGTGTGCCCATTGATTTTTTTTAACCGTTCTACCTTTTGT